AAGACAGGTAATCATTGCGTCCATACATCCTCTGCCAATTGCTTTGAACTCAAAAGATAACTTCTTTGTATAGCTTGCTACATGGTCTTTTTTTTTCTATAAAGCATTGGGAAAATTTTAAATAAAAATTCGAAATGTACTCATTTTTTTAAATAAAGATTTAAAGTAGACTTTATTTTAAATAAAAGTATGAAGTGTCCTTATTTTCTCAAATAAGAGCCTAAAGTGGACTTTGTGTCAAATAAGAGTCTAAAGTGGCCCTGTTAATATCAAAGAACGGTTTGACCTCATTAGTTGTCAAAGGCATTTTCGTCTTTTAATTTTTTGATTTTTCCCTTTTTTCTTTCCTTTTTTTCCTTTTTCTGTTTTTTTCTTTCCATAAAAAAGCAGACTCAAAAAAGAAAAAGAAAAGCTAAACTTTAAAAAAAAAAAAAAAACTTGCACACAGGCCCTCCGCCCGTGCCAATCGCCCCGTCGCCGGTGGGGCGGCGATGATGGCCGGTGACCCTCGCTGACCAGAGGGGTTGGCCAGCAGGCCCTTGCCAGAATTAGGAGAGGGCCGCGACCCTCTCCCAGATTTGGACGAGGGCTGCTAGACTTGCGCAAGGTCAGTGGCCCTCTCTTGGTTCTGGCGGGGGCCTACTGGCCTTTGCTCTGGTCAGCGAGGGTCGTTGGCCCTCGCCGAGGTGCTGGCGACCCTACCAGCCATCGTCGTCGCCCTACCGGCGCCTTTTTGCCTGATTTTTTCTTTAAAAAAAACTTTTATCTTTTTTTTTTTTAATTTTTAATCTAATTTAACTAAAATTTATGTTAAAATTATCTTTGGATGAAAATGCCCTTGACCAACCCGAATATTTAGTCGGCCGGCGAGGCTAGGCCCTTATTTAAAACTGTTATAACTACTTCAAGCCGTTGAAAAAATGAGAGCATTTCAAGCCCTTATTTAAAAATTTTCCTAAAGCATTTAATAATGGCCGCCTATTGGCATGCTTCGACATGGAGGGACGTGCGTTCAAAGACACCTTTCCATTTCTCATTCGTCGGGGGTCTTATTGCTCCTATTCATGCACTTATTTTTACGAGGCACTATGTCGCTCTATCTCTCATTGATGCGGTTTGCCATCGAATTTATGTTACTTATTCATGCACATACCTCGATGCAGCATCATGTTTCCACTAGGGTTGTGCAAAAGAATCGGGAACCACCCGGAGCCGGACCGGACCGGCCCAAAACCGGCAATTCTCATGGGAACCAGTCCAATTTCCAGTTCCAATTTACTAGAACCGATGAGTATTGATCTGGTTCCCGGTTCTAAGCGTGGAACTGCCTACCCGTCCACCAGGAACGGACCGGACTGAACCTATATATAAATAGGGCAGGGCAAGTAAGGTTATGAAGGAAATGCAAGTTTTATTTGTTCTTTTTCCTTTTACTATTGCCAAGTTTGATGTGCTTCTTAGTGGACAAAGATCCACACTGAAAGTCATTAGACCCATTTGTGTTTAGCATATTGGGATTTGACCTAAGCATCTTGATATCCTGCTTACCAGCAAACTAAAATGGATTCATTGCTTCCATGTTTGGGGAAGAAGCAATCTTCGGAAGAAATAATATGGCAGACTAGTTCCATGGACCCACATCAAACATGGGACCAGTTCCATGGACCCACTTGGAAATCCGACCGGACCGACGGTCCAATTCTCAGGTGGATCCATGGAACTAACAAGCGGTTCTCAGTTCCAATTTTTTGGAATCGGTCCTAAGTGAGTGGTTCCAGATTTCAAGGTGGGAATTGCCCACCTAGACCATGCTCATCCCGAGTTTCCAAGTCGCCACAATTCTTCCTTAACTTCTTTTCCGGACACACGATCACCTCTCACTCATGGCTTCCTCTCCTTCTCAATCTGCTTTGTCAACTCCTCCTTCACTGAGGAATTTGTGGCAAACTGGAAAAGGTTGCTCGAACTTCTTTGCATCAAATATTACTATATTATTTCCAACCCTGATGCGGAGGAGGAAATCCTGGTGTTGCTAAAGGCAGTGGAGCTGATTGGTCTTCCTGTGCAATAGTTGGGCTTGAATGTTAAAACAAAAGCCCAAAGTCCAAAATATTATTTTGTCAAGCCCAGCCCAAACAAGTTACAAGAGAGGTCTTCTTCTTTCTTTCGGCAGTTGACGTCCGTGGAATAGAAGAAGGAAAAGAAAAAGGCGCCTGAGACAGAAGAGAAGAAAATGAGAAAAAGGGGAAGAAGAAATGGTTTCTCGCGTGCGCGCTCCAAGGATCTTGGCGAGTCAAATTAACTCCGTTTCACAGTGTTTAATAAGGATTCGAGCCCTTTGTTCGTTTAATCGGGGTGATTTTCAGAATTAGGGAATAAATTCGGGATTGTGTGAAATTTAAACTGCGAAATCCGATTTTGAAATTGTTAAGCTATGGAATTTCATGCATATCATGGATTAGGGCGTTGTGGAGTCTTGGGATTTGACGGGAGTTGATTTGAAATAATGATATGTTTTACTAGGAGATATCCGACTCTTTCAAGAACTCTTCCTATGAAGGCCTGGAAACTAGATTTTGACGATGGCTAACATTTACTTTATTCAAATGTTTCAATTGAGAAAGATCCATTATTTTACTGGAATTCCATGAGTCGATGCTCAACGCATCCAAGATCTTGGATCTATCAAGACTTTGAACTTCAACAAGATCATCGTTTTGTTTTTTAATTTCGATGGAACATTCATTCCATCTAAATATTCCAGGTCATCGAAAACAAACAAATTTGTACCCCTTGCTCCATCCAATGTTGTCCTTTCATATGTTTCATATGTTCATATAGGGAAGCTAGAGATGCGTTTCAAATATTCACTAAAAATTTGATTTGTTAATTGACTAAAAACAATTCTCTAGTCATTGCCTTCTTGTGGTCCTCGATGTATGTTCCCTAGTGGCCTTAACAGCTAACCCACTATTACTTCTTTATTGAAAAGTAATTACAGTGAACTCATATAATTGACGTAATAAAATAAACTGATTAATTGACCTTGACTTAGAAAAGTGCTGAGCCATTGCCATCTAATTCACAGCTTCTTCGACCAAAAATAAAATAAAATTCACAGTTCCAAGAGGGCCTTTCCTTTTCACTTCAAGAGGTCTTCCTCTACGCGCCCTTGGTCGTTGCATTTTAGGCATTATTCGGTGGCGGTTCTATCTTGGTGTTGAATGGAGTCGACCGACATGAGCTGATTTTATTAATCATTTATGCACCGGCAGTTTAGTTAGCACATGCTACGCATGAGACGATCGTTTAATGTTTATATTGTTGTCTTTTTGGGCCACGACATAAATATTGTATCTAAAAGTAAGGGGAAAAAGAAAGAAAGAAAAGGACGTAATACCTATGTTTCCACTATAATTAGATCACCATTATACTAGTCTCTAGATGCCAGGGACTCGAAAAAGACTTGTGAAATAGATTATCGGAAATAATATTTCTAGGAGTATACTTGATCATCGTGAGAATAGGAGATTTTCGTAATATTAAAAAAAATTACATGTCCCTTGAAGTAAAAGGGAAAAATTTTAGTTTCAATTAAAGTAGAAAAATAAAAGAAAACTTTTTCAAAAGAACGGGAAGATAAATGTCACTCATGGAGAGTGTCACATGTCAGCCATCCATTGAAAGTGCTTTAGTGCACTACTGTACGTTTATCAAATAAGATATATTTAGTGTATCTGATTTAGATCGATAACGAGACATATTTGATTTTACAAGCTTAACTCTAAGCTCTTAGAAATTGTGCTTTCAATTTTTTATCTAGCACGTCAAAAAATTCCTTTCCATTAACTTCTGAATTTTAATAAAGAAAATAACAATAGATTTAATCATGGGACGCTCATGTTCTTACTTATTTTCTTTAACTTTTGGTCTTACTATTTGTTAAATTAGACAACTTACCGGTCTTTGATGTATCTAACGGCAAGTCTAACTACGGCTAGTTTTGTCCTTTGGATGAGAATATGGACTTTTTTACGAGACATTTGTGCCACAAATGAAAGCTGGGGGCTTTTTTGGGAAAAGGCCTATGCCATAAAAATCATCTTTTATTTTTAAAGGGAAATGATATATTGATAATAAAAGAAGTATCTGGTCTCAATTTTTTTCAAAATCTTAATTTTAATAAGATATGTCGTTGTAATGTTATTATCTTTATTTTTACTTTATTGTGCATTTTTCCCATTAATATAAAGAACAGTACTAAGTACATTTTGTTCAATTAATCAAATAAGCCATAATATTCAATTTTTAGAGCTTCAAATTTTTATCCAAAATTTTTTATCCATTGTTTGAAGTATGAGCAAATTTTCCATCCAATGAACTTTTTATGTTGTTTTTCTTTCAAATCCGCATTTTAGGAAAAGAAAAAGGAAAGAATTTCTCTTACCATCAAATTAATAAGAATGCATAAAATCATCTTCACAACAGAAATATTTCACTATTAATCCATCAAATAATCGCTTGTACCGCTTGAAATGATTAGTAAATGAAAAATATTTTCATTATCGACAATAATTTATGTCTAAATATTTACGTAGCGATGTAAATATTTTTCGTTTATTTTAAAAAGTGGTCGATCGATTATTTCTAAGAAATTTTTTTTAAATAATTTATTTTTCGTAAAAGAAATTGAACTTTTAGCATGGAACACATGAATTAGCTATTATTAGTTGAAGGCTAGGAGCAGTGCCTCGTCCCGATTCTGGTGAATTTTATAATCAAATAGTTAATGAACCATTGAATAGAATAGGAATAAAACCGCGACTGAGGTGTGGAAAGTGACATGGTTTGACTCACCCAACAGTCATTGTTATCTGTTTATCGTCCGGTGGTTCTACTTGGAAGCCTCAACGGATCTGGTCCAGTCCAAGGAACCCTTTAACAGTAGAAATTCCGCACAGACGGAGCGTCTACTTCTCCAATAATCAACCGGGCCAGAGTGTGGCATCGTCAAGAGTCTGTCCGAGGAAATCTTCCGTGCATTTGTCGTCTGCTTTCCGGCTGCAAATGTCGAAAGAAGGTCCTCACGGCAGTTGGAGCTCAGCATCATCGGCTCCGGTGACAGGAAACAACTTTGACGTGTTCCTGAGCTTCAGAGGAAGCGACACCCGATATGGATTCACCGATGTTCTCTACAACAGCCTCACTGGTGCCGGGGTTCGCACCTTCAGAGACGAAGAAGAGCTTTTCGAGGGAGAGTACATCAAGAAGCAGCTTCCTGAGGCAATCAAGCTGTCGAAGATCGGCATCCCCATCCTGTCTAAGGGCTATGCCTCGAGTAAATGGTGCCTCCGAGAGCTGGCTCAGATGGTCGAGTGGCTCAAAGATGGAATGATCATCATGCCGGTCTTCTTCCACATCTCGGCATGGGATGTGAAAATGAAGAATGAGGAGGGAATCTACGCCGCTGACATAAAGGCACACGAGAAGAAAGGAGTTGACCAGGATACGATCCAGAAATGGGTGGATGCCCTCAAAGAAGTGACATCTTTGAAAGGGCGGCAACTGAACGATGATAATGGGTAAGGTTTAAGGATCTGTAACTAATTCTGCTTTCTTTCCTTTTCTGCATCCCGAACCAATAATTTTAATGGACAATCCTCCATTTGGTCTCGAAACGGCACCATCACTGTTCCAGAATAAGGGTCTGTCAAGGGTTGTGATGGGCATGGCCCAGGGTCAATCTGAGTTTTTCTTTTGGGGGTTGGCTGATGGGTCACTCTGAATTGACTGGGAGACACTCTGTTGCATATGTGCCAAGCGTTCGACATTTCAGTCACATTCACCTTTCATCAGTTTCAGATCCTTATCCACAGTTAGTGTCCATAACGTCGTGTTCTTTCCTTCTTTCTGAAACTTTTGACTGTTTTCTAGGCAAGGAGAATTCGCAACAATGATGGTCTCAAAAGTTATGAAGAAATTGAGAAAGGCTAAGCTCAATCTGTCCGACAAATTAGTCGGGATTGAAGACCACTTGACTAAGCTGAGAAGAATGTTGGATACTGACTCTAGTGACGTGCTGATGATTGTCATCTCCGGCATTCCGGGCATTGGCAAGACAACCCTCGCAAAGTCTCTCTACAATGATATCTGCCACCTCTTTGATCGTTGCAGTTTTCTTGGCGATATTCAAGAAACTTCTGCAAAAAAGGGTCTTGTAGCTTTGCAAAATCAGTTGGTTTCTGACATCATCCGAAGGGACTTGGCAAACTTCTACTCGGTGGAGGAAGGAGTTAGCTTCCTCAAAGATAGATTCAGCACACTGAAAGTCCTCATCCTTCTGGATGACTTGCATGAGAAGACGCAGCTTGAAGCATTGGTTGGAAGTCTCAATTGGTTCGGTTCAGGGAGTAGGATCATTATCACAACCAAATATAAATTAGTTCTCAGTGGGCGTGAAGTAACAGAAACTTATGATGTCACAGAGATGAATCATGGCGACGCTCTAAAACTTTTCTGTAGACACACCTTTGCAAAGGATTGTCCAGAACATGACTATGATGATCTCTCTGAAAGAATTGTGTCCGCTACTGGAAGACTTCCATTAGCTCTTGAGCTCGCAGGTTCACACTTGTCTCTGTTTCGGGATAAAAAAGAAGTATGGGAAGCTCTGCTGGAAAAGTTAGAAAAACTACCTGACGATGATGTCCAGAAGAAGTTGAAGATTCATTATGAACTATTAAGCAGTTCCCAACAGCATATTTTGCTCGACATAGCTTGTTTTCTTGTAGGAGAGGATAAAAGAATAGCATCTTACATGTGGAAGGAACTTGACTTGTTCCCTTCTCTAGAACTCGAGAAGCTCTGTCTCATGTCCATGGTAAAGATTGGAGATGACAATAGGATGTGGATGCATGATCAGCTGAGGAAGCTTGGCAGGCAAATTGTTCAAGACAATCGCACGAAACATGGGAACAACAGTAGACTATGGACCACTGAAGCTCGGAAGATTTTTAAACAAGATGAGGTAAGATTTGACATTTCTTTTTTAGTCTGTCTATTGAATATTTAACTCTCCTTGTTTTGATCCCTTTAGGAAAGAGCAAAACACATATGTTCCTCAGTTCACTTCTGTATCGGGGTTACACTGGCTTCTGTCTAACAATGGTGTTTGACCAACAGAGCCAAACGAATGTTGAAGCTCTGTGTCTTGACATGGTTAATACTAAACAAAAACACATGGATGATCGATCACAGACCTGTTTGACTGCTGACGAATTTAAAAGAGTACCAAATCTCCGTCTCCTCATTTTGGATCACTTTGATAGTAAGGAGGAGGATTTTAGGAATCTTCTTTCGAAGTTACTTTGGCTCCGTTGGCACGGTTGTCCGAGAGCTTTTAATGTAAAAAATTTGAATTTGGAGGACTTGGTCATTCTCGATTTATCGTGGAGCAAGGTAACTGAAGGTTGGGAGGGTTGGAAAAGTATAAAGGTAGCTCAAATACTTTGCATTTCCGTTTTCACTTGAACACTTACTGCAACATTAACAGTTTCTGTCTACTTGTATTGTTTGCAGTTGTCAAGGAATTTGAAAGTCTTAATTCTCAGAGGCTGCGTTGACTTAATACAAACTCCAAACTTCTCTAATTTCAAGGCTTTGGAGATGCTGATTTTAGAATATTGCTCTCATTTGGTTCGAATTGACCCATCGATTGGTCAGTTGCAACGTTTGCAAATTTTAGATTTGAAATTCTGCACTGACCTCAGTAACTTGCCCAGAGAACTTGATTCTCTGGAAGCTTTGAGAGAGCTCCGACTTGACGGAACTTGTATAGAAGATATTCCGGTCTCCGAAGATATGAAGCATCTGAAAACTCTCAGCGCCTGCAACTATAAATCATTGGCACAAGTATCTAGTGAAATTGGTGATATAAAATCTCTAGAATTTCTTTCGATGGATGGCTCTGAACTTACCACGCTCCCAGATTCGATTGCAAGGCTAGAAAAGTTGAAACAACTGTCTTTGAGGGATTGTCGGTTGATGTGGAAACTTCCAGACGCCATTGGAAAATTGACATCATTAGAGAAGCTGAATCTCTCGAGTACAGGAATAGATAAATTACCACGTGCCATTGGTAATATGCAAAATTTGAAGATGCTGAAAATGGACGGAAGTTTCATTAGAAAGTTCCCTCAATCTATTGGAAAACTGGAGAAGCTTGAGGAGATTCATGCGTCACGCTGTAGGAGTTTGGAAAAAATTCCTGAGGAGATCAAAGACTTGTCTCGTTTGAGAATTTTGGTGTTGTCACATACCAATATTCGCAGCCTACCAGAGAGCATCTGTAGTCTTTCCCATCTCCAAAACCTTGATTTATATGGCTGTGACAATCTTCATAAGGTTCCTCTGCTTCCCTCTAGTTTAGCCGCTTTGCGTCTCACTTATGACTCAAGTAAATTGAAGTCTTTGGATATTTCGAATCTGACCAATCTCAAAGAGTTGCACCTTGCCAATTATTTGGAGGAGGCATCTCCCGGCACAGACGGAAATTTGATGGTGGAGCCGCTCAGCCTTTCTGGGATTGGCGAAGTGACAAAAGTTGAGACCTTGAAATTGTGCCTCTCGGGCTTCACTGCACTACCGGAAATGGGTGCTCTTTCACAGCTAAGGAAGCTTGATCTTCAATGTCCAGACCTGCAACATCTCCCACAACTACCCAAAAGTTTGAAAAAACTGACCCTTCATGGCTGCAAATCCTTAAAGACATTGCCGGAGCTTATGTATCTCAAGTCTTTATCTGGATTGGAGCTCCTCTCATGTTCAGTAATGGAAATCCAAGGACTTGGAAATCTCTCATCCTTGGTAGCCTTGCTTATTTCTCACTGCGAGCTGGTAAAGTTAGACGGCCTCGAATGCTTGACATCCTTGAGAACATTGACCATCTCACACTGTGATTCCCTTCGAGGACTGCCAGATTTGTCGAACTTGAAGCAGCTGAGAACACGTAATATCCAACATTGCAAGAACATACCTCAAAAGGACAGGCTCTAGTATTCGAACTCTCTAGAAAGGCCAGATATTTGTGAAGTTTGTGGTAGGCCATTGATCTAAATCAGGACTCGAGAGAGATCCATTTTATGCTTCCTCGAGCAAGTCTGAAGTTTCTGAGGCTGATGTGCATTCTAAAAGTTCGTGCATGTTTACAATTTAATGATGATCCATGAGTTCCACTTCCGTTGTTCAGACTTCCTTGTAACTGGAATGCTTTCTTCTCTAATGTTTCTTTTTTTCTTTTTCCTTCTTTAGAGAATGCAATATCTTTCCTTCATGAAGTAATTCTCAACAAGGCCCAGCAATTGCTTGGTTTACTTTTCTTGCCATGAAGAGAATATGTACTGTTTCTGATGACTTAGAATGCAATGCATACTACTTAACAGTTCAACTTCATTGTCCCGTTTCACAAATATTCAAATAAGTGCATGAATCAGCATTTCTGAACTTCCAAATCATTCTGGTCATTGGTGTTCTTAATTTCTTCCATCTACCTGACCGATTATTGTTGATAAGATAATATGCTCATATATTCAATATACATGGAGTATTCGCTAGCGGGAGTATTGAAATGGAAGAAATAACTGGATGGGCAGTAATCTCTGGCCAATTTTTCTGCCCAGTGATGATGAATAGAATAGTCATCTGCGAATGCGATGCAGAAAGTCCAGATATATGCTCGTACACCCCATAAATAGACATTACTGGAAATAAAAAAGTCACCATGGCATGCACTTTTTATGTGAGTTATTTATGCGATTAATGAGAGGCACCCGACAACCCTGATGATCTATATGATCATAGGATGGAAAATTTCAAAAAGAATGATGAGGTGATGTTACTGAACATCATCTGGCATTAGTTTGTCTTTTCTTTTTCTCTTGAAAAATTTTGTATACAAAGTATTTCATCTACTCAGATGAATATCGTTTGACTAGCTTGAGTGCTTTTCGGGTACTCTGAAATATCACTGCAACCTAATGTCTTGGGCTAAACGGCCGACTTAGGCTGAGCAGCAGGTAAAAATGCCGCATCATGAATTGCCCCGGATTATGATAGCAGATTCCACGATGGTCCTGCCTTCCAGAATCAAATAAAATGCGTCCCTTTGTTGCCAGGCTAGATCAAACAGAAGATTCAGATGCTGTGAAGGGACTTGCATACATCACAGTACCCGATTACTACAGTTTCCTTCTTGGCCTCGAGTTCCCGATACTGAAGACCGCCCTGCGAAATCTTATTTTGACATTGATAGTGGTTTAAGGAGCGAGGCTCAGCTTCACTCAAAGTACATCTCTTTGTCACATAGTTGATCTTTACTTGGGCCTTTGCATGATTCAGGCATCTGCGTTTGATATTCACATCTGTCTTGTTTCATTGGATGATCCAAGCCTAAGAATGTAGCATCTCTGGATTTTTATTTTTCGTTTTTGGATACAACCATCATCAAGTATCATAACTTTTTCTATCCTTCGATTATCTGCTTAGCGAAAATTTGGAAGTTTTTTTTTTGGCCTTTTTTTCCTCTGTTCTCGTTATAATAGATTAGAAAAGTTGCACATATATTGCATGCAAAAAAAAATATGAATTCCATTCCAAGTATATGTTTCTGTGAGGATAGAGTTTTACTCTGGCTCTATTCGTTTCACAGAAAACAACTTCCACGAAAATGTTTTCCGTATTTTCTCGCGTTCTATTCACGGAAAATAAATCAGTCAAGGAAAATATTTTCCACCAATGGAAAAAACACATTCAAAAGTGAGGAAAATATTTTCCGCTTTCCCGAATGTGGAAAACATTTCCCTTCATTATTCTTTTACCTCTAGACCAAGTACTTTCTTTCACCAAACACCTTTTCCTTTTATTTTTTTTTCTTTTCTTTTTTTAGAAAAATTCGAGTTTTTAATTATTTTTACTTTTATTTTTAAATATTTTAACTTTTCTTCTTTTTTTTTCCTTTTCTTTCTTTTTTTTTTCTTCTTCCTCAGCCGGTCGCTGGCCATGGGGAAGTTCGAGCCTCGTCTAGCTTGCCAGATGTAGTGAGGCCCAAGCTTGCCCAACCGGCCACGGGCGAGCTTGGGCCTTGCCAAATCCGGCAAGCTGGGCAAGGCTCCTTGAGGTCGCAAAGCCTCATCAACCTCTGGCAACCTCGGGCGAGGCTCAAGTTTGCCTATGGCCAATCGCCAACTATGTCGTGGCCGGCGACTGGCTAAGAAAGAAGCAAAAAGAAAAAGAAAGAAAAGAAAAGAAAAATAATTAAAAAATTTGAATTTTTTGGTAATTTTTCCCAGAAAATAAAATCAGATACCAAACGATGGAAAATATTTTCTAGTTTATTTTCAAATTTCAGCCGAACAATAGAAAATATTGTCATTTTCTTTGAAAATGGCTTCATGAAAATAATTTTCCACAAACGTCATATTTTCAACGAGGACGAAGCCTTTCTTTCTACAAAATTTACTCACACACTCATTGGGCTTGCTTGAAGGGGCTCCGTCATAGTATGATTATGTGTTAAATTTTAGTGTTTCATCATGTGCTTAAAGTATTAGTATTCGTTTTATTAATAAGAATTATTTCTCTTTGATTTTTTAGGATTGTTAATTTTCGAATTTATATCAATATTACTTTATATACTACGATGGACGATTCTCTTATGTAAGATATCATGAATATATTTTTGAAAATATGCTACTTTATGGACACATGATTATGTAACTATTTGGTTGTAAATTATGTAGCTTTGACATTACAAATTCAAAATCTGTTTTAGGAAATACGTGGTTGGATATATAACTATATATGTAATTACACATGACTAAGTACAACAATCTTTTTTGCGATGGTAAGTTTGAATTCTATAGTTAATCTAATTGCCTATTTCAAATTGGATACTTCTCCGAAATAAAAGGATGGAAAATGTTTTTCTTAAAATATTTAATGTAACACGTATTATATATTGTCATAATTAATATGTAAAACCAAATGAGTTAGCTAAAGCACAATTAAGGGATCATCTTGAACAGATAGCCGCCACAATGACAAAACATTGGATGGTCACAGGTGATTTTAATGATGTTATGTTTCCAGACGAAAAGAAAGGGGTGCACCAGTCCATGCTGCAAAATGTGCTAGGTTTAGAGAGTGGGTTGACAAATGTTGTCCAATTGATCTTGATTGGGTGGGAATGAAATTTGCATGGCGTGGGCCCAAGGGGAATGGATACAATCGACTATTCAAGCTCCTTAACAGAACATCATGTAATCTTTCTTGACGTTTTTTATTTGTTGATGCGATAGTACTCGTACTACCAAAAGTTAAATCTGACCATCATCTAATCTTGATTGATCTGTACTGGGAGAGGACTCCTAAGGTAAATCGGCCTTTTCGATTTGAAACAGCTTGATTGACTCATACTTCTTCGAATGAGTTTGCTCTAACTTAATTGGAATCATAATGTCTTTGGAACATTTTCAGAAGAAAAGAATTTGCTCTCCAGATTAAGAGGCATCCAAAGGCACTTGAGAAAGGTACAAATCCTTTTTTTGTTGAAACTTGAAGCAAAACTACAAAAAGAGTTTGTTGATGTCTAACAGATTTCAAAAACCTTTTCACTGAAGATGACCCAACCCTAACCACGATTTCGCAGCCTAACAGATTTCAAGTCCTGAGTTCTTGTTAGAAGGGGAAGCCATTTTTTTAAAAATTATTTACAACAAAAAATAGCTAGTTTTCATTTATTTGGTGACTCAAGGAAAGTGATTTCCTTCTTGTTAGAAGGGGAATTCATTTTTCCCAAATCTAAGTTTGTTGTTTTTAGTTTATGGATAATGTTTTTCGTCGATCGATTAGTTTTCCGTCGTACAAACACTAGAAAGTCGGAAGGCAATTTCCCGAAAACAGTTCTCTTTCAAACAAACGGACCCTATAACTTATTTAACAAAAATCATTCGCCATACGCCTAACCTTTTGTTTTTCCTTTTCTTTTACCAGGCAGACCACTCTTGAGAACTGTGGACAAGATTATGCTTCAAGCAAAAACATAATCATTAAGATCCAAACAAGATTCAATAAATTACTTGAACATGGCTACTTTGAAAGGAAGAGTTAAATCTCATTCTGTCAAAGAGAAAGCAGCATCCATGCATTAAACTGGTCACAGCAGAAACCTACGACCCTGACCGCTAGCGACATCGTTTTCTGTTGTCCTATAGACTAATAAAAGCTCCATACGCTTCTTCGTCATCATAGACCTTAAGACTACTATCCATTTCTCCACGATATGATCTCCTCTGCTTCGGATGAAAAGCCCCTCAGAATGTGTAATGCTGCTGAATGGAATCGATGTCCAAGCCTTTGAGCTTGACCACGGATTCAACATGGCCCTTCAGAGTATGTAGGTCGCGCAGCCTGCAACAACAGATTCAGGTTGCCTTACCATCGCATGTAGGACTTAAATGGTGAAAAGGAACTGCTAGCAGCGAAAGGATTATACTCTGTATTGAGAAAGTAAGGCTCCTAAGCTCCGTTAAATACAGCATGGCCTTTGAACTTCCGTTATCAGACCAGCAAACAGGTACGGAAGCGAAGTAGGTGGAACTATGTTTTTCAGTAAATAACTTCGTTTTATCACAAGCATTTATGTATGAGAATTAACATGCTCACCTTGCAACCTCAGCTCGTTGCTTGGCTTGCTCTGCAATCTCTGAAAGCTCCCTGTAGCTGCTCTTATCAGAAAAAAGGTTGGTGGTTTCAGGAGGCTGAAGGCCGTGCATAGTCCTCTGTGCAGTTCCCCACTGAGATTCTCGCTCTGTCTATTTTTGCTGTTCAATCGCTTGCTTCCGCATCAATTAATAATTTGATTTTGGCCTTTGGTCTATGTTTCGTTGATCAAGAGGACCAAGATATTATTTAAGTATAACATGAGATAATAACTTGCTAACCAATGAAACGAATCTACCTTGCCAAGCATAAAATTGCCATGCTTGAATAATCATGACGAAAAAGAATGAGATCGTCTGAAGCAGGTAAAACTGAATCAATATTCTTCTACTGGTCCAATTTGACACAGGAAAACCTCACTAAGGAATTAAAAGTTGCCCGGGAATAATGTGAAGAGAATTTTGAGTTACAATTCTTTCAATATCCTTTCTCCGAACAAGTGTGGCAGAGAATTTTAAGTAGAAAATACAAAGACAAGCTGAAGACTGGGATCAAGAGTTTTCATGAGCCCTGCATATGATGAAAGGGAAAAGCTCGAAAGTTGTTCCGTTGCAACTTGGGTGGAATGCTTCAATATACAATATCTTAAAGGAAGGGAATAAGGCGATACATGAGCAAGTTAACCCCCGAATGAATAGGGTTGCTGCTGCTGTAATTTTCAGTGAAAATTATCTTCGAGTCATTAATTCTG